AGATGTGCCAGTTTACTACCCAAATAAAACAGAACTTTTGAGAAGATAGACATCTTCTCAAAAGTTCTGTTTTATTTGGATAGTAAATTTGTCTCGGAGTTATTGTTTGGAGTGGAGGTTTTCTGGAACGCTGGCACTATATATATATATATAAATGGCTTTTCAACCAAGCAATTTCAACCAAACATGGTAGACAGATGACTTATCCTCTGGAAACAAATACTGTGGGGGTAAGATGCCCCTAAACACTCCTCGGGGTGTGAGTGTGTGCCTTAAAACGGCTTCTACTGTACAGCACAGTGGAGTTGCCATGGTAATGGCTTCACAGGGTAACGGCTTCGCAGTACTCCACAAGGGGGCTCCTTCTGGTAAGGGGGATTGGTTCTAATGGGCCCTCAGCCCTCCAAGGAAACATCAGGCGATTGGCCAAGTGCAATCAAACGCTACAAACATGAAACACCAGCGTAGACAAGAAACTCCCGAGGAGAGGAATAGAAGACTTAGGTGACACTGCGTGCGAGAGCAACTACATCTACAACTTCGGAGACAGTACAACAGCGTGAGGCCTGACTAAAGGGTAAGAGAGATAGAGCTACTACATCTAGAACTTCAGAGACAGTACAACATTCCTTTTCCTGTCTAATACAGAATTGGGATAAATAAATAGCTAGGCAATGCCAGGTTATCACCTATATATAAATAAATTAAAACAAGAGTGCAACGGAATCTCGACGTGCCCATCCCTTCCATGGGGCGATTCCCATTTCCGAACTGGTTGTCGCCACTCACATGCAGGATGTATCGAGCATGTTGTTGTGTCCTGCTGGGCCTTGGCTCCTCACCACCTCCAAGATTTCTGTGATCACCTCCTCCAAGTGCGGGTCCAGGTGAAAAGCCTCCGGATAGTTCACAAGCCAGTAGCTGAAAAAAGAGAAAGAGGTTCCAGGTTGGAGCTGCATGCTTGACTGGAGAATTCTGGGAGTCAAAGTACCCCACATCTTAACGTTTACTAGTTTGCTGACTGGGGAATTCTGGGAGTTGGTCCATATATCTTAAAGTTGACTAGCTTGCGGCTGAGGAATTCTGGGAATTAAAGTCTACACATCTTAAAGTCTACTAGCTTGCTGATGGAGAATTCTGGGAATTGAAATGCACACATCTTAATGTTTACTAGCTTGCTGACCAGGGAATTCTGGGACTTGAAGTCCACAAATCTTAAAAGTTTACTAGCTTGGCGTCTGGGGAATTCTGGGAGTTGAAGTCCATATCTTAAAGTTTACTAGCTAGCTTGGTGGCTGGGGAATTCTGGGAGTTAAAGTCTACACATCTTAAAATCTACTAGCTTGCTAACCGGGGAATTCTGGGACTTGAAGTCCACACATCTTAAAGATTTACTAGCTCAATGGCTGGGGAATTCTGGGAATTGAAGGCCACACATTTGAAATTGGCAAAGTTGAGAAACCTGGGGGCGGGGGGCGGGGGGGAGAAAAAAGACAGTGGAAAGAGAATTCAGACCGGACAAAGTGGCAGATCCTCAGCTGACGTGAAGGATTCTTGTCCTGAGCTGATTCCTGATATGTGATCCATAGAGTTAAGGCTTAATTTGTTCTCAACTACTTAGGGAAAGGATTCAGAAATCTATTTTGCAGAAATGCACTCCTCCCCCTTCCTTTCAACAGAGTCCCTTCACTATGTGAGACCTTCTAGCACAGGGTTGTCAAACTCAATTTTGTTGAGGGCCGCAACAGGGCTGTACTTCACCTTGTGGGGGGGGGGGGC